GGATAAAATTAATTTTTGTATATGTTGTAAAATATAGACAAAAATTCTCTTTCTGCATATGGATGTAAAATATTCCCATACCATTTGTTAAAAATACAATCCTTACTTAATTGGTTCATCCAGTACATGGTGTTAGGGATGCCGTTTGAAACCTTATACCAATATTTTTCATTGTAATTTAAAAAATTTATTAATATATTTTATTGCAGATGTCCCTCCTTTATTTCCCCCTGTACACCCTCCTTCCCGCTCTCCCCACCCACCTTCACGGTACTGTTGTCTTTGTCTATTGGTTGTACAAAGAAGTTCTTTGGGTTATTTATTTCTTGCCACCCACTTCCCTTCCCCCTGAGGTTTGTCAGTTCCCTACTTCCATGCCTCTGGATCTATTTTGTTCATCACCTTATTTTGTTCATTATATTCTACAAATAAGTGAGATCAAGTGATATTTGTCTTTCTCTGCTTGGCTTGTTTCACTTAGGATAATATTCTCCAGGTCCCTTAATGTCATCTCAAAGGTTAAGAGACCTTTCTTTCTTATGGCTGCATAGCATTCCATTATGTACATATACCACAGTTTTTTTATCCACTCATCCATTTATGAAAAATTGGGCTGTTTCCAGATTTTAGCTATTGTAATCAGCACTGTTATAAAACAAAGGAGTACATATATTCTTTCTGATTGTTGTTTTGGGCTTCTTAGGATATAGTCCTATAAGTGAAATCACTGGATCAAATGGCAGCTCAATTTTAAATTTTTTGAGGTAACTTAAATGTCACTCGTGAAACCATAAAAGTCCTAGAAGAAAATGTAGGCAGCAAAATCTCAGACATCATATGTAGTAGAATTTTCACCAATCCATTGCGTAGGGCAAGAGAAACAAAGAAAATAATTAATAAATGGGACTAAATAAAACTAAAAAGCTTCTGCAAAAGAAACCAGCATCAAAATGAAAAGCAACACACTCTTTGGAAGAACATATTTGCCAAAGACACATCAGATAAGAAGTTAAATTATACAATATATAGAATATTCATACAACTCAACAAAATGAAAACAAAGAATCCAATTTAAAAAGGGGCAGAGGACTTGAACAGACACTTCTCCAAAGAGGACATACAAATAGCCAGGAGATATAAGAAAAAATGCTCAACAACACCAATCGTCAGAGAGATGTAAATTAAAATGACTATGAAGTATCACCTCACATTTGCCAGAATGGCTGCCATCAACCAATCATCAAACAACAAGTGCTGGCGAGGGTGTGGAGAAAAGGGGACTCTAGTGCACTGCTGGTGGGAATGCAGACTGGTGCAGCCACTATGGAAAACAATGTGGTGTACCAATATTTTATATTCTTGATTTTTTATCCCAGGTCCTGCCTATACCCAAGTTATTAAAATAAAATATAAAAGAGATACAGAGTAGTGTCCTGGATATCTGTATTCCTTTAATATAAATGTCAATGTTAGGTAGGGATAATAAGGGGCCTTTTCTGCCATTTCTTTATGTTACTGACAATTAAGTTTACCAAAAACAAAACAAAACAAAACAAAACAAAAACCTCCCCAAATTAAATATATATATATATATTTTTAAATAGAATAACAAGAGGAAAGTTATATAACCATAATATGCCAAATAGGAAAGAGATCATGGTTAGATATAGTTACAGTGGGAGAAAGAAAAGATAGCCAAGTAGTTATTGAATAGTGTGCCTTGTCCACAGAAGTTCATATCATCAGTGTGCTTTCCTTGGCTCTTCATTTCTTTCTCCCTGTAATTTCCATTGCTGCTTCAGCCTCTTACCCTCTCTAGCCACTACCTTTCTGGAGACCTTGTGCCAGGCTGTGAAAGCTTGTCAGTGATTGAAAACTTGAGCAGGCCTCTGCCTATCTTATTGCTGTAAGAAAGGAAGCATGTTTTTTTATAAAGATTGCAGTTGAAAGTCTTTCCTTGTATAAATGTTATTATTTTATTTGTGATAATTAAGTTCTATGAATAATATCTATCTTAAATCCTTTTGGGACAGCATGGGATATGAATTCTACTAAGAAGAGGCTAAAACCACATTCCCCATTCCCTATCTTTGCACTGTGCTTGTTCTTCACTGTAGCATGTATCATTATCTATCATTCTATTTATTTACTTCTTTCTTTTCTGTTTGATCATATGGATATAAAATCCATAAGGATAAGGATTTATGTCTATTTTATTATTGTATCCTCAGTGCTAGAACAGTTCCTGGCACAAAGTAATGCTCAATTAATATTTTTTATTTAATAATTTATTTATTTTTGTTACAGATGTTTCTCCTTTTTGCCCCACTGATAGCCCTTGCCCTCCCTCCCCTTCCTGTTTCAAGCTTTGTTGTCCATGTCCATTGTTCATGCATACATGCATATAAGTTCTGTGGTTTATCTCTCCCCCCCAACCTCTCTTCTGGAGATTGTCAGTTTGTACCCCACTTTCACGTCTCTGGGACTACCCCATTCCTTAGACTGTTATGTTCATTATAGTCCACAAAAAAGTGAGATCATGTGATATTTGTCTTTCTCTGATGGGCTTGTTTCGCTTAGGATAATACTCTCCAGGCCCCTCCATGTCGTCTCAAAGGATAAGACATCTTTCTTTCTTACAGCTACATAGTACTCCATTGTGTATATGTACCACAGCTTTATTATCCATTTGTCTACTGATGGACATTTGGGCTGTTTCCAGATCTTAGCTATTGTAAATAGTGCTGCTACGAACATGGGGGTACATATATTGTTTCTGATTGGTGTTTCAGGCTTCGTAGGGTATATTCCTAGAAGTGTGATCACTGGGTCAAATGGCAATTAAATTTTTAATTTTTTGAGGTAAGACCATATTGTTTTCCATAGTGGCTGCACCAGTTTGCATTCCCACCAGCAGTGTACTAGAGTCCACTTTTCTCTGAATCCTCTCCAACACTTGTTGTTTGATAATTTGTTAATGGCGGCCATTCTGACAGGTGTGAGGTGACACCTCATTGTTGTTTTAATTTGCATCTCTCTGATGATTAGTGATGTTGAGCATTTCTTCATATGTCTCTTAGTCATTTGTATGTCCTATTTGAAGAGGTGTCTATTTAGTTCCTCTGCCCATTCTTTCTTTCTTTCTTTTTTCTTTTTTTTTGGCATGTGCCCCTAGCGGGAACTGAACCCGGGACTCTCTGGTCCACAGGCCGAAGATCCAACTGCTGAGCCAAACTGGCAGGGCCCTCTGCCCATTTTTAATTGGGTTCTTTGTCTTCCTTTTGTTGAGCTGTATGAGCACTCTCTATATATTAGAAAATAACCCTTTAGCTGATGTATCATTGGCAATTATGCTCTCCCATTAGAGTTGGTTGCCTTTCCATTTTGGTGGTTGTTTCTTTTGCTGTGTAATATTTTTAAATGGATAAATGAATAATAAATTAAACATTATTAACTAACCAAAGGAACCTAACCACTATGTATAATGTTGGATCTGTTGAAAAATGTTTTCAGAGTTCCAAACAATAAATTTGCAAGCCAATATGAGAAACATACTATTTGTAGATGATTATTTATTTGCTTTAAATACAGTATAAATAACAATAATAAAAAGCCATGTATTAAGTTATTGAAGGAGTTTCTGATTTTATTCATTAAATATTAATCAGGGTAAAGTACTCTACGCTATAAGGATTTAAACATTATGAGCTTATTTACAGGTATGTCTTGTTTTAGCCTGATCTTGATGAGTATAATTGTCATGTAACTCATACACATTGGTTCTCAGTCTGTGCTCAACATGTAATTTCTAAGTATAATTGTACTTTTTATGTAGGTCTCCTTAAAGAGATAAAAATTAGTGATTTAGCATATGGCTTTTGGACTTCTATTATGTGTAAAATACTATGCTAAGTCCTGAGTGTAGAGTGGGAAGATAGCAAATAGAGCTTCCATGTTCCTGGCATTTAAAGATAATTGTGGTATCCTGGTCAGTGGTTAGAGCATCAGCCCTCGGAACAGTCTCAGGTTTGATTCTGCTCAAGGGCACATACCTGTGCTGCAGGTTCTGTCCCTGACACTGAACAGGGTTGTATGGAAGGCAACCAATTAATATGTCTCCCTGATATTGATATTTCTCTCTCTCTCCCTCCCTTCTTCCCTTCCACTCTATCTAAAAATCAATGGAAAAATGTCCTCAGGTGAGGATTAAACTAAGGAAAAAAAATACAGGTAGGAGTAAACCATGCAAAAAGCACAGAAACAATATTCCAGGAAGAGGAAACAGCAAGTGTCAAGGATCTGAGGTGGGAAAGAATGACATGTAGAGGAACTGAAAAAAGGTTAGTTTGTCTATAGTATTATATAAAAGGACAATTATGGATATATAGACAGGAGTTAGATCATAGTGTATTTTGGGAAATGTTAGTTTGCAATTTATCTAAGGTTCAAGTGCAGTACTTTAAAGGGTTTGACCCAGGCAAAGTGTCTTGATCTAATTTTAATTTTTTAAAAAATTACTCTTGTTGCTGTGGAGTAAATGGATTGGTTGCAGAGAAGAGTGGGCAGAGGACATTCAGTGAGGAGGCTATTAAAGCAATGTAAAAGAGAGATGTTAGTAGTTTAAGGCAGAATGGAGGCAGAAGAAATGTAGAAATGAGAAGACCCAGATCTGAGCCCTGAGAAATAGTCACTGAAGAGTTGTATAGAAAAGTGAGGTGTTGTAAAGGCCAGAAACTAGTCCCAAGAAAACATAAAAATAATCAGGGCTGTTACAAACTATGGAGAGGTTGGATTATATAGGAATAAAAAGTATGTCTAATTGATATTGCAACTTAGGATCTTTTCTGACCTTTGTAAAAGAAATTTTAGTGGATCCAGAAGCTATATTGAAGTAGAACAAAGAGGGAGTATAGGTTTTCTTTCTCTGGCATGTCATCACTGCTAAAAACAAAAAGTAATGGTTAACAGACAAGAAAACATCTATGTAAAAACCTCAAAGAGTACTCACTTCAGCAGCACATATACTAAAATTGGAACAATACAGGGATCATCATGGCCCCTGCACAAGGATGACACGCAAATTCATAAAGTGTTTTATATTTTTGTCCTGGCTGGTGTGGCTCAGTTGGCTGGGCATTATTCTGTGTACCAAAAGGTTGCTGGTTGGATTTCCAGTCAGTGCACATGCCTGGGTTTTGCTCTATCCCCCATGGTGAGGGTGGGGAGATGTGCAGATGTAAGTCAATGTTGGGTTCTCACATCTATGGTTTTCTCTCTCTCCCTTTCCCTATCTCTCTCAAAATCAATTAAAATATTAAAAAAATAAAAGCCTCGAAGTTGTATAAAGTAAGGAATTATCAGGATAAAACCTGAGAGACTGTGAGAACATAAAGAAGCAACATAATGAGGACTTCCGGTCAAGATGGCAGCATAGGTAAACGAGGTATTGCGTCCTCCCACCACCACATCAAAGTTACAACTAAACTACAGAACAACCATCATTCAAAACCACCTGAAATCAAGCTGAATGGAAGTCCTACAACTACAGAATTAAAGCAGCAGCCACATCCAGACTGGTAGGAGGAGCGTAGGTTCGAGGGGTAGCGGCGGCAGCGGTGCGACGGGCTGGTCCCTCACCCACGTGTGGCGGATAAAAATCAGGAGGACACCTCGGCTGGGAAGGTCCTTCCTGAGAACTGAGGGGTCCCCGTCCCACACTAGGTGCCCCGCTCAGGGTTCCAGTGCCAGGAAGAGAAGTCCCCATCACTTCTGGCTGGAAAAACCAGCGGGAACTGAGGCTCAGAGAAGCTGAAGCAGCTGGAGCCCCAGGCAGCTCCCTAAAGGGCCTGTGCACAAAATTATTGGACTCTCTCCCTCTAAGCTTGGAGGGGAGGCAGCTCGAGGGGTGCCAGAGACATACAGGGAAGAACTGAGCTGTTTGGCATTGGAGCAAGGGCTGGAGAGGGGGCTTTCTCCAGGACAAAAGTGCTGTCAGAGGCCTTTGTTCCTTTGGTGAGTCCTTCCCTGGGGCAGCAGACAGTCGCCATATCTGGGACTCCAGCATCCTGGCTCACACTGGTAGCCCTGCCGTGGTGACTCCCTGAGGCCCTGCCCTGCCCCATACAACTTTCAAGCCCACCCAAGCTGTTGCCACTTGCTTAACCATAGGATTGGCCTGTCTTGGATCCCGCTTCAGGTTTTCCTAAATTCTTTCAAACAAGCAGCATCTGGTCTCAGCGAGCCCCATACCTCTCATTAAGTAATACACTGAAACAAACACAGGGAGGCAGCCAAAATGAGGAGACAAAGAAACAGGTCCCAAATGAAAGAACAGAACAAAACCCCAATAAAAGAACTAAGCGAAAGGGAGATAAGCAACCTAACAGATACTGAGTTCAAAATACTGCTTATATGGATGCTCAATGAACTTAGTGAGAACCTCAGTGAACTTAGGGAGGGCCTCAAGAGCATAAAAAAGGACCAGTCAGAAATCATGGATACACAGTTAGAATTGAGGGAGGCATTAACTGAAATAAAGAATAATTTACACAGCTTCAATAATAGAGTACGTAAATGCAAGGAGCAAACCATCGATTTGGAATATAAGGAAGCAAAAAATGCCCAATCAGAACAGCAAAAAGAAAAAAGAATCCAAAACAATGAGGATAGTGTCAGGAGCCTCTGGGACAACTTCAAGTGTGCCAACATCGGCATCTTGGGGGTGCCAGAAGGAGAAGAGCGAGAACAGGAAATCGAAAACCTGTTTGAAACAATAATGGCAGAAAACTTTCCTAACTTGGTGATGGAAACAGACATACAAGTCCAGGAAGCACAGAGAGTCCCAAACAAGATGAACCCCAAGAGGCCCACACCAAGACACATCATCATCAAAATGCAAAAGGTTCAAGACAAAGAGAGAATCTTAAAAGCAGCAAGAGAAAGGCAGCTAGTTACCTACAAGGGAGTTCCCATCAGGCTGTCAGCTGACTTCTCAAAAGAATCTTTGCAGGCCAGAAGGGAGTGGCAAGAAATATTCAGAGTGATGAAAAGCAAGAACCTACAACCAAGATTACTCTATCCTGCAAAGCTGTCATTTAGAATTGATGGCCATATAAAAACTTTCCCAGACAAGAAAAAGTTAAAAGAGTTCATCACCATCAAACCATTATTATATGAAATGATGAAGGGTCTTTTTGAAGAAAAAGATAAAATATATGAACAAACAAAATGGCAATAAATACATATCTATCAACAATGGAATCTACAAACAAAATGAACAGGTAGAACAGAAACATTCTCATAGATACAGAGAACATTTTGTTGGTTGCCAGTTGGGAAGGGGGTTGGGGGAATGGGTGAAAATGGTGAAGAGATTAAGAAGTACAAATTCATTGCTAGACTGACAAACCTCAAAGGGAAGGGGTTGGGGGGGTGGGAAGAAATCAACCAAAGAACTTATATGCATAACCAATAGACACAGACAATAGTGTGGGAAAAGGTGGGAGGGGGACGGGAGTGGGGAGGAGGGGGTCAATGGGGGAAAAAGGTGGAACATCTGTAATACAGTTTACATCCAAAAATAAAGATTGAAAAAAAAAAAGAAGCAACGTAATGACATCAGTTTTGTCCCGAAGCAGTTATTGAGTTGGGAGAGTTTGAGGATTTCAACCTTGCAAAAGCCACCCCAAACAAGTAACAAGTCCTGCAATCAATTAAAAGTGGAAAGTCTAATAGAAGTCCTTTTCCCATTTAATTGGTGTCCAAAATGAATAAGCTCTCAGTGAAGGACAACTTAACTTGCTTTTGCACCCACTTCCCCCCAGGAACACAAAGGAATATTTCCTTTCTGTTGCCAAGCAGGACAGGGAGGAAAAATTTGGCCTACAGTTTTTCACAGTGCCTGAGTAACCTAAGAAATCTCTAGTCATAAATTTAAAGTAAGCCCCTGCCCAATGGCTCAGTCGGTTGGAGCATTGGCCATTACACATAAAGGCTGCAGGTTTGATTCCCAGTCAGAGCACATACCTAAGTTGCAGACTCTATCCCAGGTCAGGGTAATTATGGGAGGCAACCAATCGATGTTTTTCTTTCTCTCTCTAAATAAATCCTCAGATGAGGATTGAAAACAAAACAACAACAACAAAAATATCCTTGGATGAGGATAAAAAAAATGTCTAAGTGATCCTAGCCTGGTCTGTTAATGTTCCTGACACGTAACAAAAGCAATGCAATCATAGATCCTTTCTGAAGAAATTTACCTTTGTCCTAGATCTCAAATAATTTATTACACTTATTTTATAAGGAAAGTGAGCAGCGCACACAAAAAAGTTAATAATTGAACAAGCAATTGAATTACCACCATAAGTGAGAACTGACATAAATAACAGACATCAGAGCTATATCCTGAAGTAATTTAGATACTGGAAGCATTAAACACAGAATATGAAGAACTATTGCTTACTACGTTTAAATAAATAAATATGTGTGGAGAACAAGAAATTCTAAAAAAATTACTATATTTGAAAATTATTTCAATGATATTCCAGAAGTTAAAAAAAAATCATGGTTGAAATGAAGAATTCAATCAATTGAAGAGATTAACAGAAAATTAGACAAAATTAATTAGTGAATTAGTGAATTGGAAGACATTTCAGAAGAATTTATTCATGAGAGAATAGATCATAAAAGTTATTACATGAAAAAAATCTATAACTGGTGATCATGGATGGTAACTAAATTTATGGTGGTGATCATTTTGCAATGTATACAAATATCAAATAATTATGTTGTACACATGAAACTAATATAATGTTATATGTTAATAATATCTAAATTTAAAAACAAAGAAAATATTGAGGAAAAAGATGGCAGCAGGCAGGACCAGAGCAAGGATGAGTGTGTGAGAGTGTCAACGAATGTGAGAGAGAGTGTGAGTGGACATGAGTGTGGACAACCAACCTTGAGGAGTGCAGACATATGGGGCAGAGGGTTCCTGTGCTGTGAATGGGGGAGCAAGCAGCTACCCCAGTAAGTGGCTTGTCAGGGCACCGCTCCCTGTGAGGTTGGAAGACCCCGCCATTTTGGAAGATCCTCTGGTCTTCTCTGGGAGGAGGCAGCAGGGAGCACTTAGGGCTGAGCAACCTGAGTCCACCAGTGTGCCTTGCACCGTCAAACCAGTGGAACTCACTTTGTCAATGTGGACCAGCACACAGTAGTGGTGCTGGCAAGGTATCTGCTTGGGGAAGCAGCAAATGGCCTGGAGCCGAGCACCATCCCCCACAGTAGCAGCCAAATCAGAGCTGAGCACCACCCCCAGCAGCAGCAGCAGCAGCTTGGGAACCCACCACCTTCCCTCACAGCAGCAGTGATTTGGAGGGAGTGGAGTCCCACTCCCAACAGCAGCAGAGGCTTGGAGTGGACAATTGTCCCCAGCAGCATCAGCAGAGGCTGATCAGGAGTGGTGCCCCAGGCACAGCAGCAGCAAAGTTCTGAGATCTGAGCATCCTCAGGCCCCAACAGAAGCAGAGGATTGTGAGCTGAGAGCAACTACTGGCAATAGCAGCAGCAGTAGCAGCATAAACCGGGAGCTGACATTTGCCCCAAGCAGCATCAGCAGCATCAGCAGCAACTGATCAGGAGCTGAGCACCACCAGGCAGAAGTACACTCCAGCAGTGCACCAGCTGGACCCACGCACACCAGCAGTGCTTACCAAGACAGACCAATACCAGTCGCCAGTTGTCAATCCTCCAGGACGCACAGCAGGCAAGAGGCGCCACATACCAAAACAGTCTGGGAGGCACAGCAGCCTTATTTTATACACACTGACGTGCCTACACATTTCAACATCCCTCACCAGGCCTTGAACTAACAGTCTGCTAAAATGATGAGACAAAGAAACAACACCCAAATGAAAGAAATGGAAGAATCACCAGAAAAGGAACTACGTGAAATGGAAGCAAGCAACTTGTCAGATAAAGAATTCAAAGCAATGATTTTAAGGGAGCTCAAACAATTCAGTGAGAACTATAAGCAACTTAATGAGAATTATAAAGAGTTCAGTGGGAACTACATCAACATAAAAAAAGAGGTAGAAACTATGCATA